ATGAATGGTCATCATTTTTTATAAAAATATGCTAAATGATTTTTGTTTAAAAAAAACAATAACTTCCTCTTGGAAACTGTTGTGAACCGCCTTTTCAAATACCGAAGTAAATATTTGGGTAAGAGACATAAAAAAATAGATATGTAAAATAATTAGCAATAATCTATTGTATAAATATAAATAATTAATGAAAGAAGACATATGGAGTAATTTTTAGTTGGCCCATTTGTTTAACTACAATAAGGTAAAACTAGTAAGCGCATGCTTGTTTGTAAAAAGATATATATAAAATCAATCTCAATTCAAATTTTACTCAATTTTAACTTAATTTTATTGTCCTCAACATTATTAATATAATTTAATAATATAATTCAATAATCTTTACATATCTTACTAACTTTAATTTATTATTCATTCACTTTTTTTTTCAAACGATAACTATATTAACAAGTTAAAACTCAAAAGAGTACAACTGTCAACTGACACTACTGGAAACAGAACAAAGTTTGGACCAACCCCTTGAAATCATACATGTGACCAAGGGTACAAACTCCACAAAGGAGAAACCACACCCGCAAAACATAAACTCCATAAAGAAGACTAAAACTCTATTATGAAGACTAAAAACTAGACGCAGCTGGACTGAACAAGATGAACACTAAGAAAAATAAAACAACACACACCTAATAAATAAATAGAATAAGACCTCCTCTAAACCTAACCAGCGAACCGCACGACCAACCAACCCGGCACACGAGCCACCACCCACAACAAAGAATTCTAACAGAACTGCATATCTAGACTCCAGACCCAAAAACTGCGGTCAAACTCAAACCGCCTAGACAGATCTGGCAAGGAGGCGATTCTCAGTCCAAATCTGAGCTCCATCAACCTTCACGGGAGAGCCGCCTCGAAAGACGACATCGAAGGAGTCACGTAGGAAGAGCACGACGAGCCACACTGGAAGAGCCCACAACCAAGGACCCAAATGGGTTCGCCCAAACCGGCCCGCGGCTGTTCGGGTGCCTCCAAATGAGGATACAAAGCTGATGATCGGAAGGCCAAAAGACTCCGACGGACCGGGCCGAGGTTGGCGGCGCACACTGCGAGACGGCGGCCCCTACCTTTGTTGGAGAGAGAGGTGGCGAGGCGAGAGCCTCCGCCCACCAGAGCCCTAGCGCGCCTGCGGGTGGGGCGGGTGAAAAAGCCTCCGACCTCGGGCCCAGCCATGGCCAGGGAAGAGGAGCGTCGGTTTACCAGCAGGAGGAGGAGGGGTGCCGCTAAATCTTAAGGTGTCGAAAAATTTGGGGAAAGGGAGTGTTTTTCCTCTCAACACTGAATATAATTTTACTATTCATTTACTCACATTATTTTAATTAACTATCACATTCAATCACATCTCTCCTCCTTTCTCATCAAATCAACATTAATTATTTCATTTTAAAAGTTATTTTGATACAAACTCAAAATTCCACACAAAACTTAACTCAGTCGACTTTTTTAAAATTAATTTTTTAAAATAAATTATGATTAACCAAAAAAATCAATTAAAACTAAATATTATCATTTGACTTTGTTTGGCAGTATGAATGTGAATTTGCTTCTTTTCTGTTTGAAATGCTTTAATGAGTTCACACAAGCCCCCACATTTTTTGATTGAAAATGAAGTAAACGGTGCTTCTTGTGATATATGCGGACTTTTCATTCAGTTTTGACTTTTGAAGAAGTTGATTCTTTTTAAGGTTTGGCTTTACTATAATACTGAACTCACCTATGACAGTAGGAGTGTGTGTACATTAATGTGCACACATACAAAGATTACGAAAAGTAGTTGACTTTCTGGTGCCGTTTATGTAGCAAATTTTGAAGATTTCCTATACAAGGGAATCAACTCCGAGCTCTGCTATAGAATCTAAATTACAGATCCAATAAATATTTTCGTGATTATAACTTCATAATACCTAGGGCTATGTACGAGCCAAACACATTCCGTCTCTTTAATTAAACGATTTATTAATCGAGCTCGATATTGACTCATTTACTAATCGAATTTGAGCCTTAACGAACTAAATTATAACAAGTTATATAAAAGTTCTTATTTTTTAGACTCAATGAGTCGAGCTTGATTAGTTAACTAAACGAGCTTTCAAGGAACTCGAGCTCTAAGAGAGTCGAGCCAAACTTGGCTTTAACGAGTCGAGTCGAGCTTATTAGCGATTCGCTTCGTTTAACAGCTCTAATAGAAGTTTCAAAATTAACTAGTATGTCGTTCATGCAATGTATGGGAATATATGTATAAATCACATTAATCATGGTTTACCGTACATTACTAAAAGTTATAATATAATATTATTTTTGCTAGCATAAATATTAATAAAATAATACATAAATATTCGTATATTACTGAAAATGTTCTCATAATAGCATTATTGGATTATATTATATTTATCGTAATAAAATATTATTAATATTTAAATTTAAATTTTGTTATATCTTGCTTTTATGTAAATCTATGAAATAATAAATATAATATTTTTAAAGAATTAAAATTTGATATAATCTAAATTAACTCAATAACAAGAATACTAGCATGAGTCAGTGTCGAACCAAAGTATTCGATATATTAAATAATTCATAAAATATTGTCTACAAGATATAATAAATGGATTGTGTTCTAAATTTCTAATAGAGAGAAATATATATATATATATATATATATATATAGAGAGAGAGAGAGAGAGAGAGAGAGAGAGAGAGAGAGGGAGAGAGCAAGGATCATATGAGAATGACTCTTAATGCGAGAAATGAGAATGAGTCTGGATCATTGGATTCAACATATCAATGGTCTTGATCAAATCAAATATTAAATATGACAGTCAAACATGAGTGACAGTTTTGTAAATAAGTGCTCAATCTTTGGTCAAATATTTACATTTGACCACTAAATAAGGACAAATTGGTCATTAAACATTAACACAATTATCCACACCACACCATGTGGGGCCCACCCCTTCATCAACAACCTCCCACTCTCTCTCACACACTAACACACATTCACATGATTTTTATCCACACGCAGCACACACACACAAACCTCTGAACACACACACACACACACACACACACCTGCACACACACACACACTCCGACCAAAGGCAGCGACTGACGGTGCCGAGGAAACACGGCGGCTAACGGCTGACGGAACCGAAGCGACGCGGCGGTGAGGCGACACGACGACTGACGGAAAAGAAGCGCGCGGCGGTGGACGGTGTTGCGACGCTGTGACGGACGGAGACGAAGATATGTTCTTGTGGACGGAGACGAGGCGTCGATCCAACTGACATAGACGAGGCGGGGAGCCGAAGGCGGAGGAAGACGAGGAGTAGCATCTGCTGAAGGTGACGATGCTATGAGCGGCAGACTGCAGTGCGACGCGACGGCGACGACAATGACGGTCCTGCGGCGGCTGCGTGTTCTTTCTGAATCGACTCCGGCGGTGTGATGAAGTAGATGGACAACCGCCGGGCATAATTTTTTCACAATCAACCACACACATTGGAGGGGCATAAGAAAGAGAACTTTTATATTAAAGTTATACGACGAAGTCTAGATATGTATTTAATTTGGATTTCTAAAGACTTTTATAGACTTTTAAGATTTAAGAAATAATGTGTATTTAGTTTAGATTTCTCAAGACTATTAAGAGCATCCACAATGCTTTGGCTTCAACCACAAAAAAGTATATGCCACGTAAGAAATAGACTCAATCTAAATAAATATATTCTTCAATGCAAATAAATGTAAACTGTCCTGTTGATGTGGCAGCCAAAAAAGAGACCTAGTCTACCTTTAAGTCTATTTTAGACCCAAGTACAGACCTAGTCTCTTTGCATTAGAGTGAATTTTGTTAATTTTACATAGTTTTATCCATGTCATCCAACACTTGAGTTTATTTACATGCCACATAGGTAAGACTAGACCCAATACATTGTAGATGCTCTAAAAATCCTCATTTGAGATTTTAAAAAGTCTTACAAAACTATGTTGTATTTACCTTATTTGAAACTAGAATTTGTTAAGACTTTTTAAGATTTACTATGATTTCTAAAAAAAAAAAAAAATATACAAAATCTCACTCTAAATCCTACCTCCATACTTAAGATTTCACATGATTCCTCCACAATCCAAAAATCTTAAAAAATCTCATTCTCAAAACGAATACACTTTCCTAGAGTACTAACTAAATTTCTGTGATTGTTTTACTTAATATTTTTCTATTCATTTATGTATTTTTAGAACAATTAAGATTACTCCAATTTAACGGTTGGACGTTCACACTTTCTCAATAAATTTATATACTTTCAAAATATCATACATTAACAAACAATATAAATAAAAATATAAAACTTCATATAAAATGTATGATACAATGTAGATTCACTAACCTTTAGATTGTCACACATTAAACAAATACTCCCTCTATTTTAGGATGTCAAATTTTTTGAAAATTAGTTGTCGTTGAAAATATTATATTCATTCTTACAACTTTATTCTCTTTAACAAACTTTATCTCTTATCATTATCTTTAAAAACTACCCATTAATAATTCAAAACTAAATTTAATAAGATTAAAATATAAGATTATTACACAATCCATTAAAATCATAATTTAGAAGTTTTAAATTAAAATGATATCTAAAAAAAAAGAGGGAGTATAAAAGTATTTTTTTTTTTTAAAAAAAGAATATTTGCTTATTTCATTTGAGTAAAAAGAGGAAAATTGGACAGGCGCATTTATATTGTATATGCACAGGCTGTTACATTGATCAAATCGAGGCCATCCAAAAAACACTTCCCACACATCCCCAAAATACGAATTTCAATCCCTCACGGCCCCAAATCTCCTTATATATAAGCCTACAACGCCTCCACCCTAAAGCAACCCTCCAACGCAAAACGACTGCCGACGAAAAAGGGGTGCGCGAGAAAAGGGGAAAAAAAAATGGCCATGGATCGGTCGTCGAGCATCACGAAGAAGACCGACGGCGACGAGCGGGATCTGGCCGCAGAAAACGTCGACGGCGATGAGAAGGGCGCATCGATCGAGAGGATATTCGAAGGGAAGGAGGTCCCGCCGTGGCAGCGTCAGCTGACGCTGAGGGCCTTCGTCGTGAGCTTCATCCTCGCCATTCTCTTCACCTTCATCGTGATGAAGCTGAATCTGACGACCGGGATCATCCCCTCCCTCAACGTCTCCGCCGGCCTCCTCGGCTTCTTCTTCGTCAAGACGTGGACGAAGTTCCTCGAGAAATCGGGGCTTCTGAAACAGCCGTTCACGAGGCAGGAGAATACCGTGATTCAGACGTGCGTGGTCGCCTCCTCCGGCATAGCCTTCAGCGGTCAGTTTATTAGAAAACACAAACACACACAAACACACACATACACATACACACGTTTGTTTATTCATCTATTTTTGTTCATTGTTATGTTCTTTCTTTTGCCGATCTAAATTTTCTGCAATTTGGGGATAAATTTTCTGGTAATATTATATGGAAGGGCACGAATTTCCCTTTCGATTTAAATGGCTGGAATTTAATGATATTTTGTGCAAGTTCGTCAGAGCTTTTTCTAGAATTGGTCATTTGTTTACATTATCCTTATTGTTTATTTGTTTATAAATTATATGAGAATATGGATTCTCTCCGTGCAGATTTCCCCATCAAAACTTGAAAGTTGTTTTCAAAACGTAATAAAAAGTCTTTACTTTTTGAATGACACAGTCCAAGATCCACAAAATAAGCGTGCTACCATTGCGGTGAATGGGACAAACAAATTTATTTATTTATTTTGTTTAAGGAGAAAACTAATTCTTACCGTTGGGACCACTTGTATATACCAACCCCGTCATTTTCATACACAACAACATAAATAAATGTAATAAATAAAAAGAATACCCTTGTTTGAGGAAATGTTAATAAATAAAAAGGACGTGTTTTTATTGCTGGGTTTAATCCAGCATTAGTTCATCACATAACAAAAGGCTATCCTGTTTTGTGGGGTATTTAGAAATAATATTTATTATTTGACTTATGATAAAGACAATTGTGTGTTTACTAGTAGTAGAGTTGGCTGTCAAAGCAGTTTATACTTTTTTTAGGAGATATATTTATGTATTATTTGACTCTTAGTTTCTGTAATTTGTTCTTTGACTAAGTGGGGCTGGCTGTCATGTGATTGTAACAGGCGATTTGGGTAATTATATATTAAGATCGCCTAATTTGATTTTTGTTATTGCTTTTTTTATAAAAAAAGCTGCCAAAAGTTGTATTCATATTTAGAGGAAATAAAAACAAAATCGGAAAACTTTTGCTTTTTTCAGCAACTTCATTGATACTCTTTTTTCACGAAAACAAATAAAATGAAATAAAGAACTGTACTTAAAAAGTCAAGGATTAATGCAATTCATGTGATGAGATACGGAAGAGCATTCTAGGGGCATCATTAACAAATGGCATCCTTTCTGACTGTTATTTCTGTTCATCTTTTATTTCTTTATTCCTTTTAACTGCGCTCTATTTGTAGTTTTTATGTTGTTCATATGTACGATAGAGCAAAACAAAATAGTTGATTTAACTGTATATGATAAAACAAAATATTGATAATAATAGTATACATATGATAAAACAAACACTGAAATTGGCATGTACATTCTTGAATCATCACAGGAGGTTTTGGGAGTTACCTGTTTGGCATGAGCGAAATTGTGGCCAAGCAGTCTACCGAAGCTCACGACCCTCAGAATATTAAGGATCCAACACTTGCATGGATGATTGGTTTTCTCTTTGTCGTCAGCTTCTTGGGACTCTTCTCCGTGGTGCCCCTCCGGAAGGTGAAAAAGATTTGTTTACTCTGTAAATTCTTCATTCTGTAGGTGGTAATCGGCTAATGGCTGAAATTATAAAATTATATGATATCCATGTCTCACAGCACGTAGGCTCTTTTATTGCTGGTATCTTGCATTGGCTCAAGTTAATAAATTATTGTTTTTAACTTTTTGTTAATTATTTATGTTTTAATTTTACAGATAATGATCATAGATTTCAAATTGACATATCCAAGTGGCACTGCAACAGCTCACTTAATCAACAGCTTTCACACACCTCAGGGTGCCAAGCTAGCCAAGTAAGTCATCACTCATCAGCCAGTCTTATTTCAAGCTCCATTAGTAAATGTGTCCCACAAGGCACAAAGCATTTCTTAAATGCACCTCATTCATTACATTTTGTCTCATTGTCCTGTGTCCAGGAAACAAGTTAGAGCCTTGGGTAAATTCTTCTCCTTCAGCTTCCTGTGGGGTTTCTTCCAATGGTTTTTCACCGCTGGAGACGACTGTGGATTTGTCAGCTTCCCCACATTCGGTCTTCAAGCCTATGCCAACAAGTGAGTATGAGATTCCAATTTCCTTTTTTTTTTTTTTTTCATTCTTTCACTCCAATGGATATGAATTGTTATTTATTTTAGGTTTTACTTCGACTTCTCGGCCACATATGTCGGTGTGGGCATGATCTGCCCTTACATCATCAACATATCACTACTAGTCGGAGCTATACTCTCATGGGGCATAATGTGGCCCCTCATACTGCAAAAGAAGGGCAATTGGTTCTCTGCCGAGTACTCCTCTAGCAGTCTTCACGGCTTGCAAGGCTACAAGGTCCCCCACTCAACCTCCAACCTCTTAAAAAGCATCCCATATTAAATTCACTTCATTTTTTGGCAAAATTGTATATTCATACACCACCTTGCATGGTTTTGCAATCTAATCGCCACCTTTGAAATTTTGCAAATTAATACACCACCTTTACCCATTTTGCAAATCGATACATGAATGACAGTTCTCGAACTTGGCATTGACGTGGCTTAATGCCATGTCAGATTTTCGTTAGAGTTTTGTTAACGGAACCGTCATTCATGTATCGATTTGAAAAAATGGTAATAATTATGTATTAATTTGCAANCGGCCGCACTCTCTTCGGCCTCTACCACCAATTCCGCGACAAGAACGATAACCTCGTCCTCCCCGTCGGCTCCGAGTCGACAAACCCTTCGGCGGCCCCCGCGCAGTCTTACGACGACCAGCGCCGCACCCAACTCTTCCTCAAGGACCAGATCCCCACTTGGTTCGCCGTGCTCGGCTACGTCACCATCGCCATAATCTCCGCCGCCATCCTCCCCCGCATCTTCCACCCCCTCCGCTGGTACTACATTGTCGTAATTTACATTTTCGCCCCCGTCCTCGCCTTCTGCAACGCTTACGGGTGCGGGCTCACCGACTGGTCCCTCGCGTCCACCTACGGTAAGCTGGCCATATTCGTGGTGGGCGCGTGGGCCGGTTCGGCCCACGGTGGCGTCCTCGCGGGCCTGGCCGCGTGCGGCGTCATGATGAACATAGTCTCGACGGCTTCCGATTTGACACAAGATTTCAAAACGGGCTACATGACGCTTGCCTCCCCAAGGTCGATGTTCGTGAGCCAGATAATCGGGACTGCGATGGGATGCGTGATCTCGCCGTGCGTATTCTGGCTATTTTACAAGGCGTTTAGCGATTTCGGCACCCCGGACTCTCAGTACTCGGCGCCGTACGGTCTCGTTTATCGTAACATGGCGATTTTGGGAGTCGAGGGGTTCTCGGCTTTGCCCAAGCACTGCCTTACGTTGTGTTACGTGTTTTTCGCGGCGGCTATTGTGATAAACGGGATTAGGGATGTTGTTGGGCCTAGGTGGGCCCGTTTCATTCCGCTCCCGATGGCGATGGCGATTCCGTTCTATCTTGGAGGGTACTTTGCGATCGATATGTGTGTGGGGAGTTTGATTTTGTTTGTTTGGGAGAAGATGGACAAGGCTAAGGCGGACGCGTTTGGGCCTGCGGTGGCTTCTGGGCTGATATGTGGCGATGGGATATGGACTCTGCCGAGTTCGATACTGGCGTTGGCGGGTGTGAACCCACCCATATGCATGAAGTTCCTTTCGAGGGGTGCGAATAAGAGGGTGGATGGGTTCTTGGGTTCTTAAAGGAGAGAGGATTGTGTTGGGGTTGGCTCGGGAGGTGGGGCCCCCACATGGGTCTTGCTTGTTCGAGTTTTCGTGAACTTTTCCTTTGGATGTTTTTAGTTTTACTTTCTTGCTTTATATGCTGCTTATGTCGTCGTGAAGAACGTGTTGGAGTCTGTTTATGATTTATTTCCTTGGTTGTGTGTGTACATAGTATTTGGGTATTGGAATAGATTTGACTGGAATTAGTATCTGAAATGGCTGATTTAGCATTATTTTACAATATTATGGGTATCTAATGTTAGAACTATTATCCGTGTGAAAATTGTTTGCCTGTTGCCATCATGTAGCTTGTGACAGTGTTATTACAAAGGTCTGTTCAAAACTAAAAGTGGGAAAGGCATAACTCGTTGAAGTCAAATTTTACGACACGGGAACATTCAAAGCTTACTAAATGAATCACCCTAAGCAAGAAACTAAACTTCTGTCGTCTACATTACAAGTAAACTAGCATTCATTGCTGCTGTACACAGATCATTTTTAGCTCGTCAGGCCTCAATCAACTCTCTGATTGGTTTAGTGTTCACGTTTTCTGATGGGGATATTATCGTTAGCAAACTCGGAGAATATTGCTCTAAGCTCATTCCGCCGGTTGATGGGCCCGCACAAAAGGGTAAGGCCGTCATTGTCATTAGTTTTCTACGGCTAAGATTTTTTTACCTTTGGAATGTCAATGCACTTGGGAAGGCGATCGTCTTTCGGCTGGTCTTGGAATTTGCAGGTAGGGAGGTTGGGAGGTGTACAAAGAAAGAGCAGGTGACATTTTTTTCACAAAGTTTAGGGAGTCTTGGGAAATCAAATTATTAACAATTTTTTCTTTTTCTTTTTTTTTTCTTTTTTTTTTATGTTGGGTAGAAAATTGCAGTGTTAGTTGTGGCAGTTGGGTGATTTTGGAGGGAAGGTGTAAGAAGAAGGTTAAATTTTACGTACGAGAAGTGTGAGATGTTTCCAGTAGGATTGCTTTTGGATTTTAGTTAGTGGGATATTTGGCGGCAGTTATTATTATTATCTAGAGTGATGAATGAAATTGGCTTCCTGGGAAAGTTTGAGAGTTTTTAGTTTATAGCCTCATGTAAAAAGAGCAATATTCAGAAAACAGTAGCACGCCTACTTGAGTCTTGAAGTTTCACCAGTTAAGCGAGCGTAATAAATAGAGTTAGACCAATCTAGCCGAGGAAAAATGATTATTTGGAACAATGTTACTTAAAGGGAATATAACAAGTGATACATAATTAATTATCGTGAGAAATTAGGAATTCTGTGGAACATAAGATTAATGTAGTTTGTTTTCATTTTGTATTAGGGCTTCTATTTTCTTCATTAGTTGGGAAAACTTCACTGTGAAACAATCTATAGATTACAAAAAATATCTGGGTAAGAGAATCTTCACGAATTCTGGGCAACTGGTATCATTCATATGAAAAATAAGTAACTGAGTTCAGTACTGTTAGATTATCAAGAAACAGAAACCTGGACTCACCATTTCTTAGAACCACAATACAAATATATGGTGCAAAATCGAAAAGGTGTTGGACACATTCCCAGTATCAACAACAGGAGGAAAAAAAAATAGAATATTACCTGGTTGTGCTGAAACCTGAACCACAAAATCCCCAATGGTAATAAAATTCTTGACCTAAATCATTGTCTACAGAGGTAGCATTGAACATACATAGAATTCTACCTGTCCATTTCCCATGACAGAACTATTAATCTCCATTGCGCCGAAAAAGAAAAAAACAATCGAGAAAATAGCTTGCGAGGTCCAAAACGTGACAATTATCATGCTAAGGGTCCCCAATATCCGCATGTTGCATTGAAACAAATAGAACACTTGATATCATGCAGCAAGAAGAGAAACCATTACATAGGCAACAAACAACCATGGTAGACAAAACACAATTTTGGTATAAAAAAGCAGCAACACCATGTGCATATTAACAACTGATGGTCTTTGTTTGTCCCATTTTTGTTGTGTTTTTCGTTGTTGTTTTATTATTCTTTTTCTCCCATTTTAGGTCCCTTCGTTGATTTTTAGTTCGTCTTGTACCTTTTTGCGTGTTTTCCTTCATTTTGGTTTCCTTTGTGTCTTTTGCTTGTTTTTCCGTTTTCTTTTCGTGTTTTGTCGTTTATGGTGTGTAGGTTGGAAGTTTCGGGCGAGTATTTTTTTCAGGAAAAACTGGTTTTGAGAGCATAAATGGATAGAAGGGTTCGTCGGCGACACATCGCAAAAAACAGAATTCAATTCCGAGTTCGGACGAGCGTGTACGAGCCCGAGAACTGCATCGTCGAATTTCCTTCGCCGCAGGTCGCGAGGTGGGTCGCGGGCCGCAAGGATTTTTCTGCGCTCGGAAGTCGCGCGAAGCTGTTCTTCGCCGCGGCCCGCAAGACTCTGCGCGGCCGCAGAGGCCGAAAAATGCAGAATTCTTATTGCCTCGTTTTGCTCGCATAGTGGGGAGGTTTGATCGAGGAGGAACATGCTTTGACCGACCATACAACTTGTAAAACTCGTTTTTCACCCCCCCAAGAAGGCATTCATGACCATTCTACCTCACTTCTTCTTCCCATTCTCTTTGTTTTTTCTTAGTTTCTTTGGTTGTTCATGTTTGAACAAGAAACACTTGGAGACTTTTTGTATTTGGACTTGGTTTGTACTTGCTCTTGACTTGTGGAGTTGATACTACTAGTAAGTTATCTCTTTCATTTTGTTTATGTTGATGATGGCTTATTTTGGTATGAACTCTTGTGTTGAGATTGCAATGTGTGGCTAATCCTTTAGCTAGGGGCTAGGGGATAATCGTTCCGGTTCGTTCTCGTTTATATGCAAGTTGATAGCTCAATCTTTATGAGTTTGATTAATCCTAGTGTTAGATGCTTGATCACCATTTTAACCCAGTTAATCGATTTTATAAACGAGAGGGGAGAAATCGGTGGAACTCAACTCGTTGAGAGTAGGCATGTTCAGAGATGTATTGTCTATGTGTTAATTGTTTCGTTGATTCGCTCGTTTATGTTTATTCGCATGTTACGAAGAGTTATTGAGTTTAAACCGCTAAATGAGTTAATTAGTCGAGCTTTTTAACCGAGTTGTTAATTGTCGTTAAATGTGTGTAGAACGGAAGCGATTATCTCCGACACCCTAGCCCGTTTATATATTCTTGTATTGCATTTGCGAGTTGCGATATTTAAATAGCTTTATTTCAAGAATTAGTAGTGTTAATCAAAACCGACAAATTTGAATTAGAATGTTTAGGTTTATTTTTGTTTCGGTGATTGAATAAACGTACGATTTAATCCGGCTAACCTTCCTTGAGAACACGACCCGGTATTCGAGTCTTTTGATTCTACTCCAGTAAAATATTTCTACAACAGTTTTCTTTACTATTTTTGCAAATCGATGCATGAATGACAGTTTCGTTAACAAAAAATAATGAAAATATGACATGGCACGCCAATGGCATGTCAGATTTTTGTTAACGGAACAGTCATTCATGTATCAATTTGCAAAAATGGTAAAGGTGGTATATTAATTTGCAAAATTTCAAAGATGGTGATTAAATTGCAAAAACATGAAAAGTGGTGTATTAATATGCAATTTTGTTTCTTACAAAATTTGGTTGGGGTTAGATTTGAGTTGGGTTTTGAATTTGTATTAAAATAATATTTAAATTAAAATTATTAATTTAAAAGTAAGAGATGTGTGATTGAAAGTGATGAATAATTAAAATTACATAAGCGAATAAATATTAAATTAAAGTTGATGTGACGTGTGAGGATGATTGATATTATTTAATTATATTAGTAATATTGAAGAATGTTGTTGTGACGGGTTTACTGCACCAAACACCCATTTATTATACGAAATATGCATGTTTTCCCCTAATATTTTAAAAATTGCGTCAGACCCTCTTCTATTTAACTATCAGCTGCACAAGCTCCCTTTTTTCCATTTTACATTTAACGGCGTTAGTTTTTTTTCAAAGCCCCATTATATCCTCTGAATATTATATATATATATATATATATATATTCTGTAACAAAATTGACACGTTTGACCGGAAAAACTTAAGGAAGTGATTGACTGGATTTTTCTGAAGCAAGATTATCAATATTCTTTCTCATTATTGGCCATATTTACTTGTAGCATTTAACGAAATTGAAGTTGTACAACAATATACACAAACAACCGAAATAGCGCTAGACAAATAAAGTAGTAAACTTAAAAAAGTTCACCCAATTGCGGAAGCAAAAATACTTTGAAATGAACCTTCAGAACAGCATCCCACTCTCCCCTCGTATATCTTTCATTAATGTAGATCTCACAACAATTACTCAGAGGTTTACAATGTAAACTCCCTCTACACTATACTTGAAGTAACCTATTTACATAACTACTTTCTTTTTTTCGTTTTTAAAAGAAAACACTAAGGAGCGTGAGGGGTTAGACCAGACCCCCAACCTGTATATATAATGGCTCTAAATGGGCTGAAAAGTCAAAAGTCTACAAGTCCACTATCTGAAATACAACAAGTCAAACGAAAAGCAAAACTAGAAACGAAAAATAAAACAAGAAAAAGTTGGCAATAGCTGCCAGTAACACAACGATAACGTCTCCTAGTCCGGAAAGAGTCCAGGAAAAAAAGTCAGTCACGGGAGGGCGGATCTACACAACTAATCCGACCACAACTCCCTTGCGGTAAAAGTCATTTTTGTATTTATTTTTCTCATTTATAATTTATTTAATTTTAGTTCACGCTAATACATTAAATTTTATCTTACTTTATTTTAATTTAATTTTTTTATTATTTTAAGTTAATTTAATTTATTAAAAGTTATTACTATTATTATTATTAATTATTTAATTTATAGTAAATTGACATATTATCCTTTTATTTTATTTATTTACTTATTTTTAAACTACTTAATTCATTTTAGTATGATGCATAGATATATTTATGTTCAATAGATTACACATCCATTCATATGGCCCAGTGGTTGAGCGGTCATTCCCTTCCTTTCGAACCCAGATTCGAATCTTGTTACCCACATTTCATACCATTTAGGTTTTGCACATAATTCAAGGGTAAAACAGTAATTTCCGCCACTTTGGGGTGACAAAATGAAGAAAAAGCCGCACAGCACGCGCGTGCACACCACTTCCGTCATCTTAGACGGTTTAGGGTGCTTCGCACATGCAAAACTACAGGGGTCTGACGCAATTTTTAAAATACAGGGGGAAAATGCACAAATTTAGTATAATATAGGGGGATTTGGTGCATTAAACTCGTTGCGGTGACTTAATTTTGAGTTAGATTTTGACTTAAAAATGTAATTGGTCAAAAGTGATTGGATATGATTATCCAAGCACCCTAACAATTTCAAGAAAAAAGAAACATTGATTTTTTTTATTTGTCCTAAAGTTTTAAAGTTAACAAATTACTTCACAAAATACAGGAAATTGATAATTTTTCATCATAAAATTAAGAATTCTAACATGATTAATAAAATTAACTCAACTAATGATGTATTTTGAATCGAAGTTTAAAATTAATTTAGGGCTTCTTAAACTTATAATGAGACGAACAAATTGATGTATAATTTATCGATTTCTGATTTATAAAAAAAAAAAAAAAAATGTTTGACCAAGAAGGTAGGCGTCACGCGTGTATAAAACAAAATTTTTTTATGATCACAATATTTAATTTTCTTATCGTAATATGTCATTCGAGAGCTTGCAAGACAAGTTTTCTAATAAGATAAAGTTTATATAAATTTAATGGTTGAAATTTAGTTAGTAGCCCAAAAGAGCTGGATTTTAATCAATTTGTTTGACTAATTGTTAGAATGCAACCCCTTGATTTTCATAATATCTACCTTGCTAGAAACTAATCTTATAAGATTTTCAAATCCCTCCCGATAAAAAATTTTTGGATATCTTGAAGAATATTGAAAAGTTTAAACTGGTGATTTTTATGCATACATATCGCTTATCTTATTTGTCAATAAATTATCAATATTATGTTGTCAGAATCAATAAATCATACCGCATTATGTTCATGTCGTTATGGGTTTCAAAAGATCTAATTAGTTTTAAAGTTCGATTCAAAATTCATCGTTAATAAGGTTAAAAATTTTATGTTAGGAATATTGTAAGTTGCAACAGACAAATTGTTTTATGTAGATATTTCCATCAACTTTAAAATTTTATATGGCAAACTTAAAAACAATATATGTTGGGAGGTTAAAAGAAATTTAAAAATAAAAGAATAAAAACACTTTTTATACTAGTTAAGCATACTAGTAGTATAGGTTCCTTCAAGGGGATAAGAGCATCTCCAATGTTATAACTTTGAAAGACAATGATTTTTAACACATGTCAATCAATGATTGTAATGTTAATCCATGTAGGAATAATGTTAAAAGAGTAGAAATTTGAATCAAACTATTATCTCCAATGCATCAATTTGATAAGAAGTTATTTGTATATGTGGACCAATTAAAATAATCATTAATACAAGAACAATAAAAAATTAAATCAAATATAAAATGAATTGATTAGTCATCATGTTTAACATGGTGTTAGATATTAGAAAGTGTGTTCAACATTGTCAACATTAAATGCTATCCACCTCATTATGAAAGAGTTCATGACAAGATGCATTGGAGAATAAATTAGTAATACACTTTCAAAAGTTGATGATATGAATGAATTTTTATGAAGTCAAAAGCCACATTGGAGATGCTCTAAGGATAGGTCAACATGCCCCAATTGTGTCACACTTATTTTTTGTTGATGACTCAATCTTATTTTGCAAGGCACCACAAGATGTGAATGATTCAGGCCATTTAGTTAATTTGGACAAGTCTTCAGTTTTATTTTCTAAGAATACTCTTGAAGGTTTCAGGAACTCTACTGGACATTCGTAAGTTTTGACTGGAATTTCTAGAGTTAGATCAACCAAATATCCTAGTCTCCCTTTAGGAGTTAGGAGACCTAAAAAAGAAACATTTCAATTTGTAGGTTAATTTGTTCAAAATAAAATCAAGAGTTGGAAAAATAAGTTTCTTAGTGAGTTTGATAAGGAGATTTTGATTAAGTCTGTTCTAACTGCTTTGCCGACTTATATTATGTCATGTTTTGGAGTTCAAATTTCTATTATTAAAAATATTTATAGGGAAATTGCTACTTCTAGTGGGGAAAAAAAGGGGTAAGGGGGGCTGCTGTGACCCACTAACAGCAGCCCCAGCTGTTAGTTTACAGCCCTTAGATCAATTTTAATTAAACAAAATCTAAGGGCTTAAAATAAAGAACACATGCATTTATTAAAGGGTTAAAAACTATTTCCCATCTGAACTATCACGATTTTGGCGCATCACTATATGAACTTTTTATTTTTTACAAACCACCATCTAAATTACACGGGCTTGTCAAATTACCCCCTAAACCGGATTTAAAAGTTGTTTTGACTAAAAAAAGCTGTTTTTAAGGGCATTTCAATAATTTCATATATTTTTCAAAAAAATAAAATGATAAAACTGAAAAATCCAGTTTAAAAAACGTAATTAGTTTTACACTTTCACAATTTTTACAATTATTCAATCAAAAAATGAACAATCCAGAAACTGAAGAACCAGTGGTAGGCGAGCTGAAGCAGGATTTGCCTTCATCCAAGCCGGCTGAGCTATCTTCATCCTCACAATCCGAAGGATTTATGCAGGCGGCCTCCACCACCGACGGCATGGCTGCGGCGGCTCTCCGCTCGGTGCTCCAGCGGGTTAACCCACTCCCTCCTCCGGTAGGTGTACGACGGGTGGCCGTGAGCAAGACGAAGCCGGTCTCCCTCCTCCGGCAGGTGTACGACGCCGGCCACCACTGCTTTGGCGAGAACTACGTCCAGGAGATCGTCGAGAAAGCTCCTCAGGTCACTCTTGCATTTCCCCTCCCCATTTTGTTTTGATTTAGGGACAAAATGATGAGATGGTTTCATTCGGTTGAATTGATGGTTTGGTAATCGCGTTCACGGTGAATATCTTTCATATTGTTTTTTTATTTCAGCTGCCGGAGGACATCGAATGGCATTTCATCGGGAATTTGCAGAGTAATAAAGTGAAGAGACTTCTATGTATGTCTATAGTATATCAACCTCACGAGTGTTCATAAATCTTTTGTGATAATTCACATAAGTGAATTTGAAGTGTGTAGTGTAGGCTTCAGTAACCATGTTATTGTTCGAATTGGGTGGCTATGAAATAGTTCTTAGTGTTTGACAGTTAATAATTATGTTGATGATGAAGGGTTATTGATGATGGTGCTGTAGGAATTGCTTTTGTTGTCCAATTCTTCCATTTGAATGTTTGATGTTCCAAAGTTGTTTGTGTGTTTGTGTGTGTGTGCGTAATGTGAATTTTGGAACACAAGTACAATCTGTTAAATAAACTATCTAGTTATTGAATTATGGTTTTAAGGGATCGCTATTTTGAATAAAGACTAGTGTTTATGGAAGTGTGGAACAATTAGCTATAGCCTGTGAATGTGGGTTGAGCTTGTTCTTTTGTGATGAAACTCCAGAAAGATTTTTTTTAATGTGTATGTTTGGGTTTTTTTCTTTTTTTTTTGTTCATCTGCAGCTGGTGTACCGAATCTCGACGGGGTGCGGGGACACCGACGGATTAAGGACTGGCGATGGGTAATATTCGGAGAGGCTACTGTCGAGAGATGAGGACCGATGGCGATGGGGTAATCCCATTTTTTTCCTTCATTTTTCATTTTTTTTTTGAAAAATATATGAAATTACGAAAATACCCTCAAAAACCAGTTTTTTCTAGTGAAAACCACTTTTGTTTCCGGTTTAGGGGGCAATTTGACAAGTCCGTGTAGTTTAGAGGGTGGTTTGTAAAAAAAAAAAGTTCATATGGTGATGCGCCAAAATCGTGATAGTTCAGATGGAAAAAAGTTTTTAACCCTTTATTAAACAAAATCTAATTCCACATATTTGAGAAACCAGAAACTCATCAAAATTAGAAACCATTTTTTCATCACAAGCAGAGCATAAGCAAATCATAAAACCTGCAACATTTTTAACAATTGAATCTCATTGATATCAAGACGTCAAGAAGCTTAAACTATAAACCCAGGCAACCAAACTCCAAAAGTTACCTAAATAAACCAAAATTTCACAATAAAGCAAAGCTAAAACCGCCATGGCCACACTGCATTTACTAACCTCAGCTCCACATTTCAAAAAATTGAATGAACCCAAAACTTCCAAATCTTCAATTAAACCCAACTATTCCTTCTCTTCCTCGCTACTGAAACTTACCCAGAAAAAAAAATAAACACTCGCATTTTCTGATTCGCACACACAAATGGGCTGCGTCTCATCCACTTTCCTCAACCAAGACGACGACTTTTCCCAAATCGGCGGCTCCGCCGCCTTTTTTTTTTTTTTGGTGGGGAAGACTTGTGATTGTGAGGGTATGTGTTCTTTATTTTAAGCCCTTAGATTTTGTTTAGTTAAAATTGATCTAAGGGCTGTAAACTAACAGCTGGGGCTGCTGTTAGTGGGTCACAGCAGCCCCTTACTCAAAAAAAGGAGATGGGGAGGGGGAAATAGAATTAATTGGGCTAACCGAAGCAAACTTGCAAAATCCAACGAATCCTTGATTGTGAAACACTTGTGGTGGTTAATTACTAAACCTAATTTTCTGGTTAGCAAAGTATTTAAAAGGTATATATTTTTGGAAAATGAGATTGATGGATGTGCATGCTAAAGGCAATGAATCCTGGTTGTGGAGGAGCTGGCTAGGGTCTAGGAAATTCTTGAGTCTTGGGGCTAGGTTTAACGTGGGAGATAGTCAGTCTATCCATGTTTGGGATTTTCCTTGGATTCCAAATAATTCTTCCTTTAAACCCACCTGTCAATTTGCAAGAGATAGGATTAGAATAAACATGGTGTGTGATTTGATTAAGGTAGGGAAAGAGAGTGGGATTGAAATCTTATTTGTTATACTTTTAACCATGTGGATGCATAAACCATTCTCAAAATTCCTCTGAGAGGAAGGAAAGATAAACTCATTTGGCATTGTAACAACAAAGGCATATTCTCAACTAATGAAGTATATAAGGTTATCATTGCTGCTCAAAATTGATTTCGAGCAATTAGGAAACAACTAGCACAAGTCAGAAAAATGTTGTCAATGACAAGATGTGGAGGAAGACATGGAAGTTACCCATCAAGAACAAAGTAAAGAACTTCATTTGGAGAGGAAGAAGAAGAAGATTTAGACCATATTTTGTTTGTGCTCAGAGGCCAATACTTATTGGAAATTGAGTGGGGGTTTAATGGGAGTTGCAAAAGGGAGATCAGATGAATTTTCAGAGATGATGGAGTGAAGTGTGTGTCTGTCAATGTTGTTTTCATGGAAGAAAGAATTTGCATATCCACCTATGTGTTGTGGTGGATATGGAAATCTAGGAATAATTGGGTGTTCAAGAAGGATTGGATCAATGAGAACGATATAGTGGAGGGGGCTAGAACTGAATGGTTGGAGTTTTTGGCAGTGAAAAGAAGGATTGAAATTAAGAAGACTGCAGTGAAGACATCAACTGAAACCCAAATAGGTAAGTTTCCCAAGAGAGTAGGTCGGCTATTTTTGGCTATCAGTGCTCTATTATCTAGTGGTGGTCAAGTTGGGATGGGGTATACAGAAGGGGAGTGTGCTACACAGGGGTTTGCTATTTTGAAGAGAGTAAGAAATCCTAAAGAAGATATGGTTCTGGCTATGAGATGAGGATTAGTGAAACCAAAGGACTTAGGGCAGCAGTGATTTGTTATATTAATAATGATAGTGTTTCTACTACTATGAACAAATGCTTGTGTATTGTGAGTCTAAAAGCTTTGGTGGAGGAAGTGTACTCGCTTGCTACTTCTTGTTCTATTAATTATTTTGTGTGTGCTTTGGACTTTTGTAGTTCTAGTTTAGACTTGGCTGGTTTGGCTATTGAGGGGGGATAATTCTACTCACCTGGTTATCTTGAGTTCTCTTCATGTTTGAAGAGATTCAGGTGTTTGTAATCAATTCATTAATCGTGTACTTTTATATTTCTGAGTTCTATGTAAGTTCCTGGTTTGCCTTTTGAC